TACCAACAACACCTTCCAAAAAAGTTGGGACGGGGGCAACAAAAGGCTGGTAAAGTTGTGTAATGCTAAAAAAACACCTGGTTGTTGATTGGCAACAGGTCAGTTGGGTATAAAAAGAGCATCCCAGAGAGGCTGAGTCTTTCAGAAGTAAAGATGAGGAGAGGAAAAGACTGCACAAATAAATAGTGCAACAATTCAAGAATAACGTTTTTCAACATAAAATAGCAAAGAACTTTTGCTTTTCATCATCTACAGTACAAGAATATAATTAAAAGATTCAGAGAATCTGGAGAGATCTCTGTATGCAAGGGACAAGGCCAAAAAACAGTATTTGCTGGCCACGATCTTTGGGCCCTCAGGCAGCACTGCATTAAAAACAGACATGATTCTGTAGTGGAAATCACAGCATGGGCTCAGAAAAGCTTATGAAAACCACTGTCTGTGAACACTGCATCCACAAATGCAAGTTAAAAAAATGCAAAGAAGAAATCATATATAAACAGGATCCAGGAATCCTGCCACCTTCTCTGGGCCGGAGCTCATTTAAAATGGACTGGGGGGAAGTGGAAAAGTGTCCTGTGGTCTGACAAATCAACATTTGAAATTCTTTTTGAAAATCATGGACACTGTGCCCTCTGAGCTAAAGACCACTCAGCTTGTTATCAGTGCACAGTTCAAAAGCTGGTATTCATGATGGTATGGGGGGCATTACTGCACATGGCATGGGTGAGGTGCAAATCTGTGAAGGCGCCATTAATGCTGAATGATATATACATGTTTTGGCTCATATGCTGCCATCCAGATGACTTCTTTTTCAGGGAAGGCCTTGCTTATGTCAGCAAAACAATGCCAAACCACTTTCTGCATGTATTATAACAGCATTGCACCGTATTAAAAGAGTCCGGGTGCTAAACTGACCTGTGTGCAGTCCAGACCTATCACCCACTGATAACATTTGGAGGGTTATGAAATGAAAAATACGACAAAGGAGACCCCGAACTGTTGAGCAGCTGAAATGCTTTATGAGTAAAGAATGGGAAAACATTTCACTTTCCAAACTTCAGCAGTTGGTCTCCTCGGTTCCCAAACGCTTACAAAGTGTTGTTAAAAGAAGAGGTGATGAAACACACTGGTAAACATGCCCCTGTCCCAACATTTTTGGAATGTGTTGTTGGCATCAAATTCAAAATGGGCATATATTTTTCAAAAAACAATAACGTTTTTTAGTTTCAACATTTGATATGTTGTCTTTGTAGTATTTTCCTTTAAATATGTGATTTACATGATTTGCATATCATTGCATTCTATTTTATTTACATTCTGCAAAACGTCCCAACTTTTTTGGAAATGGGGTTGTATTCCACTGCTTAGTATGTGGAAAGGTTTTTGTTTTATGTTTAAAACATATGTATTAAGAATTAAAGGTAACACTTTACTGTAGGGTACTGTTCATAAGGCTACATGACACTTTTGTAAGTGTATCCTGACAACTGACATAACCCTACATAAATGTTCATAAATCCTTATTCCAGCAGGTGTCATTTGCTGTAAAGGCTATTTTAGCTTACTGTGACCAAAATTGGCAAATGTTACCTTTATAGCAATTGGCACCTATTGGAATGAGCCTTTATAAACATTTGTGTGGGGTGATGTTGTCATGTAGCCAAATGAACAATACCCTACAGTAAAGCGTTAACAACTTAGATGCTTTTTCCTTTGAAACACAGTCTTTAAGCTGATATGTTAACAGACATCTAAACTTTTGAGGTATCTTGTTGTTCCTGTTTCCAAATGAGGATAGCACATTTAATTGGTCCTCTGACAGTTATGCCTCAGTTCTTCACAGAACAGAGATCAACACAGAGTGGTTCCATCATATTCCCTCCTCATCTCCATCTTTACCTTTTCAGGACTGCTTTATCTCTAAAGAGCACTGCTACTAGAAGCCACAGGTATATAACCTAGCACTGAAGTGGAGGTTGTTGGTGAAGACATGGGGTAGAGCTGGAGGACAGGTTAAGAGGCACAGAGAGACTCCTGCAGTAGGTGTAGTGCTACAGGGAAAAACTCCAGTCCAGCCAAGCCACAACCAGTCAGGTGAGAATGAAAGTAATAAGCACAACAGTTGGGTCTATTTTCTTAACTGACAGTGTCCACCGCCATTACATCTAGCCACTGGTTTTATTATTATGTAAAAAAAATAAATAAATAAATAAAAAAATACCAACCCTCAGCATATTGCATTTTTTTTTTAATTTTTAACACCTGTTGCTTTTTATATTTTATCCACATTTCCAGATGAATAGACTAACAGAATTACTTTGAATGAGTTCTAATCACATTAACTTACATTTAAAGTTTTTTTTCCTTCTCCTGTTACCATTTCAGAGACATGAGGTTCACGTCAGTTTGAAACCACTATTGTTGGCTTGTGTTTGTGATGTCAATTGTGATCTATACTTAACAAGGCTAAGTTTGATTTGTGCCATGGAAATTCAGTCACATCTGTATTTAGGAGAGGCATTTGGACAGTGGTATTGGCTGATGGTGAAGATGAGCTGAAAAGCAGCACCCAGCAGCAGCAAAGGCAGATCAACCTGGTAAAGCACATTGAATCTGTGCAGAGGGAGGTCACTGACAGGATGGACTTCATTGAGACGAAGCTGGATATTTATCCCTGTTAATTTTATTTTATTCACATTTGCAACAAAACTCATATAGTCAATACTGACAGCTATATAAATACAAATACAGTTATATTTCATGCTACAAAATGCATGATACCAGTGATACTGGGAATGGTTTCTATAGTTCTATTTAACATAGCCCATCATATCGGTAAAAGTAATAACCATTTAAAAATCTCAGTTGCTCTCAGAACTGGAAAAAAAAACTGGTTTGGTTAGCCAACTTTGGGTGAAGCGGTGAAGCTGAAGTTAGGTTAGCTTCTTATTCTCCAGCTTCTTATTTGAATTTTTCATTCTACCTTAACTGGTGCAGCAGTTAGACTCTGGCACCTGAAGAAAACTTCAACTTTGCCTAATTCAAGCAGCCACTAAATGCTGATTCTGAATGGGCAACCAAAAACTCGCTTTACAGGAATGCTTACAACTTCTGATTTGCACCTGTGCTTGGGTTGTACATAGTCCTGAATTCAATTTGCAGGGATTGACTGAACCTTGTTAGAAAATCTCTTCTCTCACTCATTTCAGCCAGAAGGTAAGAGCTACACTTTTTATACAGAAACACAAGATCTGATTCTAAATGAACTTGTTAAGCACAGTTAATTTAAGCCTTAAAGTTTCAGTCAATTTTTTAACAATACACATTTGGCAAACACACGTGCAGCATGTAATTTTATTTTTTATTTATTTTATGTATTTTAAGAAACGCACTGTTTTAGGAATTACCAAAAAATAAATAAAGTAAGAAGTAAATAAATACAAAAATTTTGTTAGCATTTTTTTCTAATTCTGTATTGATCATATATTGTATTGTAATGCTAAAGCAGCAGAATATATCATATTCTGAAATTTGTGCATCGTTACATTCCTCTTGATGATGAGTTTTATAGATATCCTATGCTCACTATAACATATTGAGGTTTATTATTTTTGACATTCTTTGTTTTATCTAGTGGTATCAAAGTTAGTGCCTTAATAACTTTTTTTTTCAACAGTGTTAATGCCTTTTCATTGTTTGGCCCTTCAAACCACCTGCTCACCCAGCTGAAGCCCAGCTGCTCACATGGTATATGCTGTGATGACTGACTCCACAGTCTTGTTCGAATATAACTTTTAAATGGCAAGTTCCATTGATGGCTTTCTTGATAATAGTTATTTCCATCTACTCCCATGCCATGAATTTGCTCACCACTGATGGATGTTGAGTCCTAAGTAAGCAAAACACAGCACTGATGCCAGCAATTCTAGTATTATCAGTAATATTAGAGCTGGAGCAAGACTGCCCTAGTTTCATCTAAAGAAGCTTTGTTCATCTCACTTCAGTCTTTTTTAATTGAAGCCAAATACAATTGAGAAACAGATAAAGTAAAGCAAAACAAAACAATTTATTTTGGTATCGTTTTAGCTTTGGATATTAAAGCTGGGATTAGTGTATTTAAAAAAATATTAATAATTAGATAGTAAAGTTTACATGCACTTCTGTGTAGCGATTCTATTTTTTGATTCTAAGTATTATCAAATATTTCTCTAATATATGTACTATATAATTATCAGCACTTCAACTAAATTAGCTTTCTCTTTTGTGTATTTATTTGATGTGATCCATTAAGATAATGAGCCATTAATGTGTCACATGTGCATAATGTAAATGTATTAAATCTCATTGATAATTTAGCAGCACTTCTTTTTCTATGTTTAAATCTTTTAAGCTTATACTTTCAAGATTCCTCTGTTTAAATGACTTCCAATTCTAAAATATTGTATAATTTGTGCTACATCTTTCTTTGAATCTTTGAATCTGAATCTTTCAGTATAACAGTACAACAGTACAACAACAAATTTGTTGTTTCTTGATGTTCATATTCATCACTCAAGACGTGTGAACTAGTTCATTGTGTTAATTTATCATTGTTAATTTTTATTTTTATAAATACTTTTAAGTCTCTGTAACTCCTATATTTTAGTAGTTCACAAACCCAGTCTTTGGGACACTGTGCTCTGTAGTTTACTGCACACTTTCCAGCTGATCAGCAACCTCAGGTCCATAGCAATAAGACTGAAAACTACCCCTGCTGTCGAATTTAATATGCTTGTTAGTCAGAATCACAAGCTCTCTAGTATGAAATATTGACAAAATGTTGCAAGTAGGACCACGAGACATGTCTTGTTTCTTACAAGGTATTTACAAAGGCTTTACCTGGCATGTATGACATATCCAATATCGCGACCAAGCCTCGTGAGGGCGCTAAAGCGTACGTGTGTGGCCCATTGCGTGTTTCATCTGAACACATCTGTCACAGGCGTAATGTATCTAGGGTAGTTCCGCCCAGAATGAATGACATAAAAATAGAGCCAAAGTGGAAACCTCAGTGTGCGGTGGAGGACAGTCATAGCATCGTTCTGACGGAATCATTTTACCGAGGATTTGTGTGAGACCGAGCAAACTGCACTTTCTTCCTTAGAGGTGAGTGAAACAGTAATAGAAATAGGCTTAAATAATACATAGTGTCTGCGGAAAGTGAACGTCGCGCTGTAACGTTAAAGAGAACGGGGAAGGCTGTCAGTTAAAGATTTAAAACATATCGATATGCTAAGTCGCCGCTAACAGTTATAGTTAACATCTACGTTCGTTGCAAAAATGCTTAGTGTTCATTTTCTTTAATCATTGTTCACAGGTCACGCGCGGCATCCTTATTTCTGTAACCAACAACTGGAATTGAAATAGGACTGAAAAATATCGAAATTGATATCGAATTTTAAATAGTGTTTGACTGTAATTCGTGTATTACAACATTATATGTTGATACGTTGTTCTTACAGGCTCATTATTTATAGGCCAAGCAAAGATAGCTTCGCCATATCGTACGATGTTTCTCATAATAAACCAGCTAGTATGGGTTGGTGCAAATTAATTCATTAAAGATGAAAGTTTCCAACAGAATTATTCACTCTCATCTAAGTTTCATTTCAAACACTGTGAATGCGTAAGAGCCCCCCCACCATGCCAGCAAGTAACAGGCAGTAATTTTGATTTTTATGGTTCGATTTTACTTCCTAGGTATACATGTACATACCACTCTGCAAGCGTAGACTAGCTGTATTTGCTGTATTAAAATGAATAGCCAGAGAGAGGTAAGGTCATATGATCATGTCTGACCCCTGTAGCCTCATGGTAATGACATTGTTCAGGTGACCTGCGCACGCCAAGGTTGTCGAGGTAAAAGGGCGGGAAGATGTGCGCATGTAACCTGGAGGTATTCACTTAAGTTAGCAAAGCTGAGTGTTTACACATGGAACAAATCTGTTATTGTTGTAAACACCTCCACAAACGTTCAATGCAGCCTTCATTTGTACAATTGTTGACGCATAAACAATGGTAAACAATGGTAAACGGTTTGTAATGTTGTTTTTACACAAACATAAAGAAGAATCTGTTTTTTCAAGATACCTGCGTAATTCATTGTTGGACTGTAAGTTGGAATTGTTCACGGTTCAGTTGTGGTGATAGAAACCAAAGCCTTTTGTGCCACTTAGCTACACCACAGAAAATTATTACATTAATTGGTTACAAAAATACTGTCTCACACCTGAAACATTGTTTTATGGTAGTTCCTCTGCAAGCTTTTGGCTTGAAACATTTTTTTAAGACATGAATGATGGAGAGACATATGCAGGGCAGATAGTAAGCTATATTTGTGTTGTAGACATTGCAACCCCTTGTTCCCATCCCCATCGCCGTATGTAAGTTGGTATGTTTCTCTGCAATGCACCATGTCACACCAAACCATTCTAAATGACTTGTTTTCATCTCAATAAATTAAATACAATAAATTATTAATTTTTTAAAAATTATGGAAATCTTCTTGAATAGATAATCCTTTCTTGATGTTTTCTCATCAGCATGTGGCTATGAGGAGAATTATACACATTTTATGTTCCGAAGAGAATTGGTGAAGCTCATGATAATCAAGTAGACCCATGGAAAGATGAGTGCTCTGGTTCACTTTGTTTGATTTAATTAATGAGAGCACAGATCACACAAACAAATCGTTAATTAGTAAAAGCTAGCTGAAGATGTATGTTATGTTGGAAAGAGCACAAACTGTTTGGATCGAATTTACTGATGAAGACGATTTACCTCCTGCACTTTGATGCTGAAATATCTGAATAGATATTAATTATAATGGGTCTGTTACAAACTGAATATTGGAATAAATGTAGGCATGTATTTTGTGTTCTTGTAATTAGTCATTTCAAGTAGAAGAGTCTGCCCTGTATTATACATAATTGAATTGTTGGAACTGAACTGCTGTAACCTGAATAGGCAGATATACACTCCATGGATAAAAGTATTGGGATACCTACACATTACACCTACAGCAGCTTTTATGACATCCCATTCTAAATTCATAGGCATTAATATGGAGTTGGTCTGCAGCTATAACAGCATCCACTATACTGGGAAGGCTTTCTACAAGAAGGCATTTTTTCTCATTCATCCAGAAGTGCATTTGTGAAGTCAGACATTAACGTTGGATGAGAGGGCCTGGCTCGCAAAAGATGTTTGATGGGGTTGAGGTCAGGTCTCTGTGCAGGCCAGTCAAGCTTTCCACACCAAACACACCCAACCATGCCTTTATGGACCTTATGCACCTGTGACAATAGGACTAAATGAAACACCTGAATTCAATAATTAAGAGGTGTTTCCCAATACATTTGTCCGTATAGTGTATGTAAAAGGGGTGGTTACATTCAACATTACATTCAACATTCATTTCAGTGTTTCAATTACAAATGATTGTTGCACATGACAGAACAAATTAGGTGTGGATGTAACTCTGCCAGGCTACAGAACTCACAAACACACCTTCAGCAAGATGAATCAAAATGTTGCCTAATTCTAGCTTAGAATCTCTATAGCTAGCATCTAATGCTAATATGGATTTTTTTGAAAAACCAAAAGCAAGTGAAAAGAATGGAAGCTGTAGTGAAGGCAAAGTGTAGACACACTAAATACTGAAAAAAAATAAATAATATTAAGGCTACTGTGTAATTTTCTGTAAAAAACATATGTGTTCTGCTTTTTCCTGCTGCTGAAAAATGAATGATTTATCTAATAGCCATTGTGACTGGAAATTAAATTAATGAAATGTTGGTCTCTGACTTTTGCACAGTGCTGGTTATCTCCAAAGACTCTGGTGTGGGGAACTTGGCAACCATGTGCTAGAGGTGACAAGCTGGCATTTAAATTTCTGAGCAAATGTTTGTTTCCCTAGAGAAATGCATAGTTTCATAAAAGTGGTAAAGCACTTTATACATATTAATTTTCGAATTAATCTAATTTTATTGAATGCGTTGCTAATCACAATATGCGTTAAACAGCATAGTACCAAGTAGCTAATTGGATGTTAGCCCATATTTTCTTATTTTCTTATTTTATTTTTACCAATTGTTAGATTTTTCCTTCTGTTCATTCTTAAATTAACTTTTTTTTCAAATACTAAATTTGTTACACTTTTTTGCAGTTGTGTTTTATTAAAACATAAATATCTTACAGAGTGTTAAACGATACTGTGTATTGTAGGAATGTCTTGTGGTCTGATTTTGGCCATATTGCCCACCCTTAGCTGTTGAGCTGTTGTTCACTGCAGAGATCTTAACCCATACTGAAGCTGTACAGAAGAGACTTGAAACACCCCACTTTTACCAGAATCCAAGTGCTTAAAGAGCTCATATAATGAAAAAAACAAATTTACCTCACTTTTTACTTTTAAATAAATTATTTTGATGCAGTATGTAAACATTGATTGTGGCCAAAATGGATCCCTACTCACTCATAAGTATTGTGCAATATAAGGGAAAGCTATTTAGTTTACTAAATAGCGTTAAAAATGCATGACTCAGTAAATGAATTCAGATACTTTCTCATGATCAGCCTTTGTCACTGCTTTAGTTACATCTAACAGTCAGTATTTTTGCTTATGAGAAGCAGTGTTAGGGTCTTCGTTTCTCAGAGCTGCTGTTTTTGGAGTGTTTCTCCAGAGATTCAGAGAGTCAGATAATGTTAGTTTTCAGTGGTTCAGCGGCCACCAGTAATGTAAGCTAACATTCTTCTATTCATTGCTTAGTAATAGGTGACTCATAATGCACTTTGGTCCACAGTCAGCTGATGTTATGATCTATGGTATATACTGGGAATTACAAGCGTGAGATTTTTGTACCCTCAACATCATTCTGGAATTCCTTTTTTTATAATTCAAACAAATAAAATACAAAGAAAAATGTAGCATATGGAGCCAGCAAACTGTTTTCTGTACATATATCAAATATGGTGTGGACCACTGTTTTTAATAAATGGTCATAAATGATCTGGAAAGGCTCACTGAAGCAGTGACTTTAAATATTGTAATTGCAGTTCATCAAATGGAGGATTTTATTAATTTCCTCTTTGGACTGTGTTTTGTCAAGTGTGCTTGGAAGTAGAGAGGTAGCAGAAAACAACACCAAGCTCAGATTTGTGAAGTACTTCAATTAACAGACTGACATGAAGGGTCCTTTAGGACCGTTTTATCCATATCTCTATCCACATCATTATTGTAGCCATAGCTCAATCTTTGACCGCTCTACAACTAGACATGTGCTGGTATTTGGTAATTCAGAATACTGTGATATTAGTCACACACAGCAACATTATTGTGGGCTCTGTGAAATACCGTCACAGCATTTTAGTCAAAAAAGCTGCAGTTTCACCCAAAATTTTTTGTGACAAGCAGCTCTGCTTTCACAAGTTCCCACTACTATATCACGCTCTGATCACTAGGGCTGTGTTCAGAATATCATTACAGCAATACGTCATGGATACGTTTGTGGTGATATGCGTCTTGATATTCATTTTTTTACTTTTTCACTGCATGGTAATGCGCGAGTAAAGGTGTTACTGCATTTAAGAGCGTGGCATTTTACAGCATCCAGCATGTATTAAACATGTGCTCTAATAGTTAGGCTTTACCTATATATTTATTATTGTTTGTGTAAAAAGCTGCATTGGAGAAAAAACTCTGGATCTAGCTCATTTGCTAATTATTGAGCCCTCCATGAGTTGGATGAGGTGTGTAGAGGCACAGAGTATAATTGAAAATTAAAAAAAGCAGAGCAGGCAGAAGACTAGAGTTGCTGTCCCTATTCGCTGTTGCCCACCGAGCTCCTGCAAACACCAACGGGGCAAACAGTTCCAGGAGGACGTGTTGCCCTATTTAATAATAATAATAATAATAATAATAATAATAATACTAAATATCGCCACAAGCGGCAATCCGTAGGCTCCAAGCACCAGGAAGACATCGAGGAGTAAAGTAGTGGCCCCTGGTCGTAGAATGCAGCAGATCTTGAGATTTATAACAAAGATCTCCTTTTTCACTATGATTACAAGCACTAGGTGATATATCTGCTACAATCTACACAACT